CACATGGTGACACTCTGCACTGCAGTAAGGGGTGCTACAAGGGCAAACTCCTAATCCATTCTGTAAAGCCCTGGGAGAATGCAAAACACAAGGGGAGGTCTGAGGAAACAGCTGATTGCCTGCTCTTCCTTCTTCTGCTGAAAGCATTTTAATGTACTTCCTTTCACTGGAAACCAGAAATCAATGCAAGACATCCTCCCCACACTCACAGACATCTCTAGGTGCTGTAGTTCAAAGGCATAGAAGAGTGTGTAAGTCCAAAAGCTGTAAGGCAGCATGTCCTGCAATTCACAGGTTCATGACAATTAATCCTTTAATCGAGGTATTCAGAGGAGTTTTATGAACAATATGTTGGTTTGCTGAAGGAAACAAGCATGTGAAAGGTTTTGTTACTCAGCCTGGAGCCAGACCCTGCTTTTCTGGGTGAAAAACTAATATTTGTGGCTGTTGTCTCAGAACACTGAACTCTCTATTTTTATTTCTCTTGTGAAAATGGTATGTAATGGTATCTTCAGTGTGCATTCAACTTAATGTTTTATTTACCACTGTCAGCATAAAACAGCCTATGACAAGGCCCATAGTTTCTTTTGCAGCTCTTATATGTTTTATCCTTAAGGTTAATAAAGTAAATCATTATGTAGCTCTGTGTCTCCAGCCAATTTCAGCATTAAGAGGAAATATCACATATAACACAGCTAATTCTCTTCTTCTGTGTACCAAGACACAGTCAGAGTCAACTCACTGGTGTGCAGTTTTCACTGTTATCAAAACAGAAAATGAAAGGGGAATTCAGCATGCACACTGAAGAAATTAAAGACATGCTGCACATTCTTTTTCCTTATTGAGTAAAGCAGTAAAAAAGAGGTTTGTCTAATGATGAAAAAGTAATTAACATTTGAAGATGTATCCTGCTCCTGTGAGGGAGCTTGATTTTGTGCAGAGAATTTCTGTCAAGCTAGAGTCTCCAACTGCCTTGCAGTATTAAATATGTTAGCTGAAGAACTAAATAATAAATAAGGACAGTGGAAGCCAGAGCTTTTAGAAAAGCTCTAAGTGGTCATTTCTTTCATATTTAAAGAGCATGTACACTACTTCCGCTCAGCCCTGCCCACTGCCCCCCTCCAAAAAAAAAAAACCAAAGCAACAATCCTCTTAAATTGGCTGATGATAAGTACTCCACCTATTTCCACGCTTCATCTCTCTGCACAAAAGTGCACACAATAAGAGGAGGTGTGGATGTTTAGGAAGTCAGTTTCCACATGGATGATTTCTTGGCTTTTACTTGCCTTAGCTGCATGACTCTTCCAGCGACCCATTTCTGTGGCAGGTGCCACCTCACTGCCACTGCGCTGTCTCACTGTCCTCGGACAACATTTGGAAAGTGCCTGTAATTATTTATCAGGCCAGGGAAAATGCCAGCACCCCCCATGTGATGTTTATGAGCTTCCCCCAGAGCACCTCCAGGCACTGTGCAATGCATTTTTACAGGGGCTGCAGTTCAGCAGTCTGGTTTGCTGACAGAGAATTCCCTCCTTGCTTCTCCATGCACTGCTTGCAGTTTCCCAGCCTGCAAACCCTATGGATCCCTCACCCCCATCTAAACAGGAGGAAAGGAGAGACCAGCAGACCGAAGAGCAAAAACAGCCCTTAAGACAGCAGCTGGAGGAAGACATTCCTAGGAGGCATTGCCAGAGACAAAAAAAGACAAATCTCCAACAGCCTTCCTTTCTCATGAAGCTTCTTACGTGGCTTGTCTTTATTTACCTTGTCTTTTCTTCTTTATAGTCAGCAGAAATATAAATACTAAAAGGATTGGGCAAAAATGTACCCTTTCACAGCCTTAATGTGAAAGGGTAGTAAGCAGTGGTAAGTGGCCAGCCTCCAGACTCCAGCCTCCTCTTTGCCACTGCTGAAGATAAGATAAGGTCTTCAAAATCATGCAAATGGGTTTTTACATGGCATTTGATATAATTCTGCTTATTTTAACTTTCTTTTCCCATCAAGAACCTTGGGGGAGGTTCATGCCCTCAGACTCACCTTTCTGCCTTTTGGGCAGTTCTAACGACATAGTGCTGTCTTCATCTAGGTCATGTGCAAACTGGGGTCAAAACAGCTCAGTTAATGCTACTTCATAAAGAAAAGAAGAAAAATGGAGGTGAATGCCATACACAATCAAGTACTGGGAGACAGCGAAACTTGGGCAAAAAAACCCCCAAATGTTATGTTTACATCAAGCTGCAAGACATGCTCACCACAAATCTGATGTCTTGTGCTCAGAACTCATTTTCCAAACCCATTAGTTACTATTTTTATATCACTCCCACAAGCATATTACTATTATCTTTACTTGCAAAACAATGACAAATTCAAACAGAAATGCATTTTGCAGGTCAGGTTGCTTTTTTTAGTTGTGATGCTGCAACAAATAGAGACATATTTGTTTATTGCTATTAATTTTTTATTAATGTATATATATCTTCTTACACAAAGCTTTAGAGCACAAAGCTCTTATGAGGAGCAACTGAGGAAACTGAGGTTTTTTTAGCCTGGAGAAAAGGAGGCTCAGAAAGGATCTTATCACTCTCTACTCTCACTGCCAGAAAGGAGGTGGTAGTGAGTGTCTTCTCCCAAGTAACAAGTGACAGCAGGAGAAGAAGTGGCCTCAAGATGCAGCAGAACAGGTTTGGATTGGTTATTAAGAAAAATGTATTCACTGGAAGGGTTATAAAGCATCAGAACGGGCTGCCCAGGAAAGTGACTGATTCATTATCCCTGCAGGCATTTAGAAGATGAGTAGATGTAGCACTTAAGGACAGGGTTTAGTGGGGACTTGGTGATGTTAAGTTAATGATTGGGCTTGATGATCTTAAGGGTCTTTTCCAAGCTAATTGATTCTGTGATCCTGTTCTGTGGTTCTGTGGAGCTCTCTTGCTGTCCCTCACCCTGTTGTGTCAAGGCAGGCAGAAGGACCTGCTGTGCCAACCATGCAGCTACTCCAGGCCAGCTCTGCAGTACCCAGCTCTGGGATTTTCAGTAATGTAGCTGTAGAGCAAGAAATTGAATTGCAGGTTATCATCTAGCTATGGGGCAGCAGAAATAGGGACTGCAGGTGAGTCCTGGGCTTGCACAGCTGCACATAACCAGATCCTGAACTAGTCAGGGCATACTCCGTAAGACATAGCTTTAGTGTTGAGTCCCGTAGGCAAAGAGGTGTTTTTGTTTGTCGTAGGGTACACAGTGCAATGGGAGTGGTCCAAATAATCTCCACAGGGTATATTACAACTGAGTTCAGAGGTGATAATCTCCACAGAGTATATCACAGTTGAGTTCAGAGCTGAGTTTATAATGCAGATCAATCTGACAGCACTGGTTCACATGAAAAATTGATTTTAAATAGTGGTTCTAAATATTTGTTTTGATTGTGAGATGTCTATCTGGAAGGTAACATCTCTCTCATATAGCTTGAGAATTCATGTGTCCTGTGCCCAGGAACTCAGCAATGCCCACAAACCAGGAGGGGTGGATTTGAGCTTCAGGGCTCCCATTCCCTTCTCTTACAGCTGGTGTGGAATACTTACAGCAAAGGCAACAGAGGAAACAGAGACCTTTTGCTTATATGACATTGCTTTGCTAGAACGTCATGAGGATATTTACATGTGACATTATGTGACAGCCAAATAATGCTTTTAATAAAAACATAACCCAGTCAGTGTCCTCAGCCTGCTGACTCTGCTTTTCATAACACTCTTTATCAAAGTCAGGAAGCTGTCAAAAGCTATGAATGATGCTGAAGGAAAGTGCTAATGTCGTTACTTGAGCCTGTCATCTACATAATGGGAAAATATTAACACAAGATATTTCTTGTTCTAAAGGTGCAAAGGTTTTAACTCAACTGAAGTGTTTAGAAAATGTGAACAGATTTTTGAACCAGCATGCATCACTATAGTTGATATTGACTTCAGCTTAGACAAGCTGACTTCTACTGAGGATGCAATATAAATATTGACAAATCTGCTATTATTCATTGGAAATAATGAACTGGGCAGAAACAGCTTCAGCATGTGGCAGCACAAGGCAATTCAGCTTCACTTGTATTTTGAATTGAAGGCAATTTTAGAGAAAGTGGTTAAATTGTTCTCTGGAAAGCCCAAAACCAAGTCAGGGTGCTGTGAGGAGCACTGTGCTGCTCCCTGGCAGCAGAGCCAGCAAAGCTGAGCCCTCACCAGCAAGGAGCTGGGGTGCTGAGAAGCCAGGACAGGATCAGGTCCAGGGCAGCAGCTGGCACCAGACGTGGATGGGGGGTCACCAAGCAAGTCTGTAGCAACAGGACAGGTACAAGGGCAAGTCGGGAAGCTGACCTGGAGGAGCTGGGTCAGGGTCAGAATCACAGCAGCAGCATCCAGGGCAGGCACCACTGCAGCACAGCAGCACGGTGGGGCCAGGGGCAAAACCTCAGCTAAAAACATCTCCCAGAAAGCAGGAGGGAAGGTCTGTGCTTCTGTGTGTCTTCCCAACAGCCCTGATCAGTGGAGCTTGGTTGACCTTGGATATAGCCAGCTATGCTCCAGAAGGGGATTTGCCCAGGGTCCTGCAAGGAGATTCCATTTTTCCATCCCTGTTTAGAAATACAATTTTCTCCTTCTTCTCCTACTCTCTTTGACAGGTATCAGTCAGAACTGCATCTCACTAGTACAAATTGAAATTTTCACAAGTCTTCAGCAGGCTAATTGTTGAGTGACTTCACAATAAAAGAAGAAAGCAAGTATATTTTAATTTTAAGAATACATCTGGGGGATTAGAAAACAGGTTTAGATAGAGGAAGAGCTCCTTAACATACTGCTTGATCTATGCAGGGAGTATGAAAACCAGGGGGTGGAGTTATCCCTTTAAATAAAATAATCCATTTAGAGGAGCTGGTCCATCCCTGGTGAAAAGTCGCACAAAATACATGTTATTGCTACTAATGCTCCCACTACTAAGCACATCTACCCCTTTGGGGGGATTGTGCTCTAAATGTGGCTTTAATGCCTATTAAAGACAGGTAGGCTTCAAGTAAATGGGCAGCTTCCCTTGCCAGGAACAGCTCTGCACACCAGTGCTGGGTCTGGATCCAGCAGCACCAGACAAAAGTGCATATGGAGCAAGCTCTCCTTCCTCATTCTTCTATGCAAATGCTGATGCCTCTGGAAAGAGAAAAAGTCTGATTAATGTGGTTGCTTTCATTTTATTAATTTCATGCTATGTACAGGCATAAATATGTGTGGTGATAAGAAGCAGTAATGGAGAAGGCAATGAGCACATGGAGAGCCAGAGAGGGGACATGTGGACCAATTACAGTATTAAATATACAAACTTTTCAGTGCTTGTCATATTACTTAAATATTTGGAGGTTAGTAGTCATATGATGGAGATGGAGCATATGTTAGGTTTAAAGAAAGGGAAAATTAGGGAGTGTGCAGAATCAGACAGGGACCTCCTGACCCAGAGGTTTATTCTGATGTTTCTTGGGACTCCTCACTGGTGGAATAACTTCTCAGTGTCTGCCTTGGGAAGATGGACCTGCCTGCCTGCCTGTGGAGGCCAGTGATTCCCTGCTGAACCAGCAGGAATATTATATCACTTATCTGCTTCTGAGGATGGAAAGAGACATTTACAAGGACCAGATCCCACCAGAGAACAGCAGTGTTTGAAGCAATCACTGCTAGATAATTTGGACTTGAAATGTCTGAATGTCCAGGGCTCTTCTTTTCTAGACACAGGGATGGACATAGTGTTTGTGCTGGAATGGGAGGTCACAAAAACCAGGGACATTTTTCCCCATCTTCATTCAACAAATTCCAAAGATCTAACAACAGACCCCCAGAGAAGCTCTTTCTCAGCAGCAGCTGGTACAGCCTGAAGCCTGGATGCTGCTGGTCAGTGTTCAGGACTGCCAGGGATCCTGCATCTCTGTCAGTCAAGACCAGTATTTAGAATATGCTGGCTTTTTCCATGGAGCAGGAGGGAATTGCAAAGTTTTAGCTGTAAAATAATATAGCTCAGGAGTATTTCAGGAATAAATATTTGCAAAGTTATATGAAATTATGAATGCAACAGTGTCCAATCTTTCAGCTTTGAACACTTACTGAGTTAGCCCTGTATTTCTATGTGCAAAGCCTAAAAATCTGGCTATGTTTATTTATTGATCTAGCAGTTTTAATTCCATTAATTGGTAAATTGCTGTGGGGAAATGAGCATATTGAACTTTTCTGAACTCCCACATATTGGTTGCTCTAAGCAAGATCCAAGTATGGCAAAGAGGCTTGTCACTGTGCAATATCACATACAGAATATGAGCAGAAAAAGAAAAGGCAAAAGTATGTGTGGAGGGAATTTTTCACAATTAGGAAACCTTGAAATAGACTGTTGGCCCTGAATTTGCCAGAATGGAGAATCAAATGGATTCACTAAAAGGGAAATAATTTGCAATAATAGCATCCCACATTTCCATCTTCACCCAGAACAGATGTTTTTCTAGCTCACAGCAGGATATAATAGTCCTGGAGTGAGAAAAAAAAGGATAGAGGAAAGCAAAGATCTTATAGGTAAAGCTGATGTAGATGCTGCTCTGGCTTGCAGGTAGATACTTCTCTCAGAAGCTAATCTAGCTAAGAATTCACTTTGACTAACTCATGAGGAATCCCAAAGAAACCAGCTCTTGGAGATCTTATAGGTAAAGCTGATGTAGATGCTGCTCTGGCTTGCAGGTGGATACTTCTCTCCAAAACTGTCAGAGCTAATCTAGCTAAGAGTTCACTTTGACTAGCTCATGAGGAATCCCAAAGAAATCAGCTCTTTATTAAATTCAGGGGGATAATCTCATGCTTTGAACTTGACCTATTCTATTCTGGGTGTCCTGCATTCCATACTCTGGGTTACAGGAAGATAAAGTTGCTTCTTCAAGCTCTTGGAAAGAGGATTGACATGGGATGAAGGCAAATCTCATGGAAAGACTCCAGGGACCAAATGTCAGGCCACCAGCTCTTCAGTTGAAGAGAGCTAAAAGAAGAGGGCATCCTTGGCAAATGATTACAAAGGAGTAATAATTTGTTCAAGCCACTGAAAGGATTCCTGACTGCAGGAATCCCTCTCTTCACTTGGCCTGAATACACATGTATTCCTTCTTTGAATATTTTATGCTGTTCTGGCTTGTAGCATGCATTCCACTACTGTGCCCTGGTTTGAATGTTGTTTTCTTATGTCATTTGGAACAGTCTCAAGAAAGAAGAGAAAAATGCTTTTAAAGGAAAGAAAAATTAGCAAAATGGACATTTCCATCCCTAGTATCTGGGGCAACAGATGAGGTTGTGAAAAATATGCCTGTAGGGCAAAATTCTGCTCTCATCACTCTTGTGCCCATCAGAGACAGTTCCAATTTAAAGCACTGAGGATCATGCACTGTGGAGCTACACTTTGTTAATTTATTATCCCTCACCTTAATCTGGTGTATAAATAATGACAACAGGCAAGCGTGTAGCAACAGCTGTAGATTGCTCTGTCCTAGCAAGCAAGCAGAGTTAGATCAGGAGGTTCAAATATGAAAGAACTTTAACATGTCAGTTTAAAAAGCTCCCACGTTTTCTATTTCAAAATATCACATCAGCCCATAGCAGTCTTTCAGAGAAAAGGTAGAAACAAAATTGAGAGAGAGGAAGTTTGATAAATAAACTATTTTAAATAGCTATTCTCTAAGAATTTATCAGGATGAGATAAGGGAATTGGCTCAGAATTTTTGGCCGGCCACTTTGTAAGTGATAACACTGAGTCAAAAAGAGAAAGCTTTTTTCATTTGATTGGTTTCAGTTTTAATAAATCTATGCTGCATTGGTATGCAGAGTGATTAAGCCTTCCCTTTGCCATTCAACACACAAATGGCCAGAAACCAGCATTTTCATCATGAGTTTCATTTCTTCCTGGATTAGTTTTCTGACATGTCTCAGTTGGCTCATCCCTCTAGGAGCATTAAACATTTACATTTAGGCAATGTGAATTACCCTTGAGTTGTTCCCTATTTAGGTCCCGTCTGTGAGGATTCATACTTTTCATGTCTTGAACAGGAGTTTGTTTTAACTCTGATTTCAAGCAAGGTGTATCTACAGACACACCAAACTGGCCCAGGGATCACATGAGGATCTCAGAAAAGTGTGCCAAACCTTTCTTCTAGATGCCTGCTCATAGATACCAGAACTGGGGGATGATAAGATAACGTGTAAATAAGCTACTGGGTCTTCAGATAGAATTATACTGTAAGAAAACCCTGCCTTGCTTGGGAACTGTTCCTGGATGTTTCCTGCAATATGTGAGGAATCAAAAGAAAACACTGAGAGCAGCAGAATCGTCTTTGTGCAAGTACAAAGTAAAGGTACAGAATTTCTTTCATTTTGTGTAGGGTGTAGGCTGTGTCCACCTGTAGGAGGATAGATCAGCTGCCCACATGGTGCCCAGGGTGGACAAACTATCATATTTAAAAGGCTTTCCTCCTCCTTTGGGGAAGATGAAAACAGGGGCTCCTGCAACAGAGTGTGCACAAGGGAAGTATTTCACAGAGATACCAATCAATAAATGATGAATTGCTCTGGGCATGTCTCAGCCATAACAACTGTGCTCATCTGAGGGGAAGGCTTTGCTTCACATCAGTGAAAGTAGCAGGGACAAAGTGTGTGGGAGCCATGCAGAAAGGCTGGGGGGAAGAATGTGGGAGAGAGCAAAATAAGTAGAGAATGGGAAACGTTCAAGAATGTTTGCCAGTAATGATTACGATTATGATCATGATTATGATGATAATAATAATAATAATAATAATAAAAGAACTTGCTTAGTTAGGCTTACTAATTGTTCTAGGACAGGTGTGGTAGTGAGTAGAGAGCAGCATAAATTGTCAGAAGTAAAATGTGGTTTGTTTCTGGGCTTTGGGCACACTGGTATAATGCATACAAAACCATTTCTTTGTCTCGGTCAATGTGCTAGAAATCCCAGACCTAAGGGGTTGAAAAATCACTTCTTCACTACTGAAATCTCAGTCCATTAACATTAATTTAATCATCTGCTGGTGTGTAGCTGATGCAGACATTCCTTTATATCCCCACAACGACTTCCTAACTATTCATCTTCAGTTGGTGGGCAGGCAATAAACACCTCTTCACAGGTCACTGACTGATTTAACTAGGTTCTAGGTTAAAAAATTACAAGATTGCATTGCCAGTAAGTCTTCACACTGCAGTCCCTTGTGCAGATGTTTGGAGCAAGAGTAGCATCCAGTGGTCAAAATGTTAATTACATTATATTGAGGGCATTGCATGCTGGAAGCACCTTAACAACTCCAGCTTTCTTGCAGCAAAAACGCAGGTGAGCAGAAGCCTTGAAATTTCAGGGTCATGCTTACATTGCACAAAGGAAACCTATGCAGGGTAACACATCTGTCTTTCTGCAAGGTTGGTGTGTGTTTTTTCTGCTGATGCCAAATGAAATCTACTGACCTTTAAGTTTGTAAATTCTAAGATGGATGGATGGATGGATGGATGGATGGATGGATGGATGGATGGATGTCGCTGCACATGGATACCATGCACATAAGGAAGGCAGGAGGAAGGTGAGTGGGGAGGAAGGTACTGTGACCTTGGTGTGATGTCTGGGATGAAACCTTGAGCACAGGACACTGCAGAGCAGCCATGCTTGCAGTGCTGTGACTCGACTTGGCTCAAGGATCTCAGGCACCATGCACAGCTGAAAGCAGCAAACCTCTGTCCTGGAAATAGGATGCCAGCACTGCCAGGGGGAATAGGTGGAGTTTGACTCATAATCAAGGGAGATAGGAGAGGGGATGTCCTTAGGGGAGGGCAGCACCTACCTATTTATTGGTGAGGGCATGTGGTTGGAGCTGTGGAGGTGGAATCTGCTTTCCTCCTCCACAAATGCTCTTTATCTTCACCTGGCCTGGGGAGTGAGAAATAGGGGCAAAAGGTGAGTCACACATTGAGAGGACAAGCCTTGCTTGTGCTTTGTAGACTACAAGAAAAAAGTGACCTCAGATAAAGGCCCTGCATGTACTCAAGGGCATGGAGAAAGGAGACTTGTTGAGTTTCTTGTCAGTCAGGAGAAGAGGTTTCATTAATCACACTGCAAGTGAGGGAGCTGCCAGGTGTTCAAGGGGGAGCACTGGGTTTAGTCCTCCTAGCAAAACAGGTACCAGCCAGAGAACAGGGAGCATGCCATCCAAAAGGAAAACAAGTCTGTTGGAGACTGCTAGGCTAGGATGTCAGAAATTTAGCAAGTGATAACTCAGGTTAGACATCTAGGGCTAATTTTTTCCCTGGAACTGCAATAAATGATAAAAATTAAAATAAATAAAGAAATAACATATAAATAAAAAGCTAGTTTTAGAAAGTCCACCACTCATGTCCTTGTGCCATGTCAGCATCACAGATGAAGGACCCAGGAAGGATCCCAGGAACAAACCTGGATGCAGCTTTATAGGAGTGCACAGAGCTCTGCCTTTCCTGGGCAAAATGCTCTGGTCTCCCCAGCACCAAGAGACTTGTTTTGCTGCATTTCTGTGGCCTTTCAGTGCACCATTACTCTGTGACCTCGAGGCAGTAAAACTTGTCTGGGGCAGTTAATGATTCTCCCTGCTCCCATGCAAACATTAGCCAAGGTAGGGGAGAACCAGCTGCGAGGGCTGCCTCACTTTCTTTTCCTTCCTCCTTTACTAACAGCAGAAATGTTGCAGCTCTAATGCAGAACCACACTTGCCCAAAGTGCTGGAGAGAGGAATTCTCCCTTCACTGTCTTTCCTGCTGTGTGTGTCTCCCACAAAAACACTGTGAAAAGGTCAGATACTGAGGCACACACAGGGAGAGTTCACCCCAAGGGCAAGAATGTTACTTAATTCCAGGCTGCCTTGCATGCCTGGGTGGATATATTTTCAAAATTATTTCCTTCAGGTTCACACTATCTGACGTGAAATGGAGCACCCCATTAGAAAAACCTTTTACAAAAGAGTTTCTCCTGCTTTCCTAGGAATGCTTGGTGGATTTTCCATCACGTGTGTGCTTGGCACAGTGATGTCTCTGTGTTATGCTGAGTTCTGCATGCTGCAGGATTGCTCAGCAAGTCTTGTTGGAGCACATGGCAGAGGCAACTTCACACAATTTTATGGGACAAATTGAAGGGCTCTCCTCTCCCCACCCCACCTGACTGCTCAGGTAGGCTGTGACACCTTCACATTTCCAGCAGATTGCTGTGGGCATGGCAGCTCCACGTGCTGTGATGGTGTTAGGGCACTAAATGCCACTGCTTGTGTCTCAAGATCTCAGGTATTTTCTCCAAGGGAGAATGAATGCCATAGGGCAGCTAGATGGTGAGTACAGGATCGTGTGAGCCTCCAACATGTGGGCTTGTCCTCACACTGTGGCAGCCCAAAGCACCATAACCTCTTCTGTCAGATGCCTGGTAACCAAACCAGCCTTCCTGCACTTATCCCGAGATAAAAGTACACCATCCTTTCCTGCAGAAAGCAATGAAGCCTTCTACTGCCTCACAGGGCAAAACTTGTTTAACTCTCCTCCCTGAAGACTTAATGAAAGAGCCTGGGAAGATGAGCTGTACACAGCATGCATTAACCAGAATATTAAGAAAACAGACCAGAATCTGTTTCGGACATAATTTGCACTGCATCCTGCACAGCGCGTAGGAAAGCAAAAGAGGGAACTGTGCCTTTGCCAGGACATGAAGACTCAATGAGTTTCCAGAGGTTTTGGTGTCCCTTCTGAAAACCTGACTGTGTGGGACACATTATATGGGGTGCATACACCTCTTTGCTGCACCACATTTGATTGTGTTAGGAACTATCAGTGCAACCTGTTGTGCTTTTTTTGGCCTATGAATATTAAGTGCTGGGGTACAAGGCCGAGGTAGGTTCCTAATCCATACAAAAGCTGTCCTGGAAATACTTTGTGAATTCTCTGTGACAAACACAAAATGTTCATAGAAATAGTCCTATAAATAAATTACATAAACAGAATGCAATTAAAGTATCCCTAAACTGCATGTACTAAAAAAAGCAAACAGCAGTAAATATGATAACTTGTACACTGTAGAGATGTTTAAATTACTGAATAAAAGTAATTAACACTGAGAGCGTGTAAGTTTGGGAGAGGGTTCACAGTCACAGTGGGCACTTTTTCTCTTTGAGGCTGCACAGTGCCAGGAGCAGCATGGCTCTGAGGGATAGCAAGAGTCAGCTCATTCCAGGTTGCTTAGTTTCTGTGATAACAGTGCTAAAAATCTGATCACACCCCATTCTGGAAAGCCAAGGACACTGCATAGAGATGTAAGACTCTAGAGTGCCTAGAGGCAGTGATTCCTTTTCAGATATTCCTCTCAGGTTTCATAGTATGCTGATACAGGAAAGCACCCTGGCATGAGGATCTAGTATCTAATGGGCTGCATATTGGCTGCGGGCTGCTTTGCATTTTATTGATTCTTGGCAGAGGCAGTACTGGTTCTTGGCTAGAGGAGTAGGAGTCTGATTAGCAGCATAAGCAAGGCAGGTCTCAGGGGTCATCTGGGTGACAGCTGCTTGCAGAGATGGGCAATGGGTGCTGGGTGTTTGTACTCTGCAAGCCTTCTTGCCTGTTGACACCACACTCTGAGCCAGCACGGGAAGTGCACCTGTGAAGCACCACCAGGACCTGGCAGGTGCAGCCCCAGTGCTCCTCACCCTGCAGCCTCCTGCCAGCCAAGGGCAGCACGGGCATCTCTACCCACCTAGCAACAGCAAGACCTGACTGGCAATAAGAGAGCACCTTGCTACAGCCTTCTCTGAATCTGAAATAAATTTTATCTCCCTTGTGAGCATGATCAGATTCCTCATCCAGTTATCAGTCCTGTTTTGCAAGCAGTTGCAGAGTCAGAGGGGTTTGTGGCTTTGCTTTGCAATGTGCTTGTTCCTTGTACTTTGCTTGTTACCAGAATAAGACCAGCAGTAAATGTAATGTTACACAGAAAGGCCCCGCTATCAAAAGCCTCTTAGCACAAGAATATTTTTGTAGAAAGCAAAATAACGTGCTAAGATTTGTGAAGCTAATAAACTAACCCAGGCTTTCTACGCTGATTTCCTACAGTAATTCCCAGCACAGCCAAAGAGCACGATCCACAACTCTTTTGTCTGTAAACACTTTCCAAGGCCATTTGACTAGAATGAGGTGTGGGCATGCAGGCAGATTTGTTTAGTGCTTCCCAGCTGCCCCCTCCTCCTTGCTGTCCTTGAGCTTCTTCTCAGCTATGTCTGAGGTAAATGTGGTTTCACTCTGGGGTCTCATGCAGAAGTCCTGCTGCAGGGAAGCAAGGACTGGTTTTATCTTACAGCCTCTGCAAGCCCTTTCTCCAGAAAGGGAGAAAGTCTTGGGCACCTGCAGATGTAACCAGAGTAACCTGGGACTGCAAAGTGATGCAGGAAAACACCTGTAGTCAAACCAAATGTTGCAGTTTAGGGGTGTAATACAAGTGTTTTGACTTTCTTAAATGTAAAATTATTCCCAAACCGAAGAGCAATAAAATCTCTTGTCTGGTGCTCAATTCCACTTATGCCAGGACACAGTTTGAACACACCTCTGCCCCTAAAATGCAGAATTCTTTGGTTCAAACAAAGTAGGTTTAAAGGTAAGCCCTAAGGCCTGCAGGTGGGGCAGTAGAAGCATTGCATAATAGCATCAGACCTTCCTAATACCTTCAAATTCCTGCATATCCTAAATACAGCTGGAAAACAGAGCCCCCCAACCCATACTAGAGAGCAGCTGCAGTTTGATGAGAAATATGGTCAGCTAATACTAAAGAAAGAAGAGCCAGAGGAGAAACACTAGCTGCTAATATTACAAATACTTTCCCCATATAGATACTTTATGTAAAAAAACTAAAAGTAACATTTTATTTCTCCAAAGTTTAAATTTGTCCCTAAAGCAGTCCTGGGAATGCAGTGTGAAAGTTCTGTTGCTCCTTGTGATTCAAAACAAAGTGTAGTTGTTCAAGAGCTTTGAACCAGCCCAGGATTTATAATACTTGTAAAGCTGGTTCAGCTAGACTGGCAGAAGGTCAAGGTCCTGCTTTTAGAACTCAAATTTGAGTGTTACCCTGCACAAATATGTTCTTCCTTCAAGAAAGACTCTGGGTGCAGACTAAGGCTGTTGCTTTTGCTTTTACAGGGAGACAGTTTGTGACTGTGTGTTCTGCTAAATGTACCTGGGAGGATTTCATACCCTTCCATTTTCCAGGTCATCTGTCCCTCAGGGAAAAGAAATTAAGGGGGCAGGGGACTTAACGGCAGAGAGTGATAAAATCATCGTTGATGCAGAAAATAAAAGCAGATAATAACTTTCTCTTAGAGCACAAAACATCATAAGGCATGAAACAAAATAGCTAAAGCAGTGGAAAGTACTTCTTAACACTGTACACCATCGAGCTGTAAAGCTCCGTGTCACAGGACACCAGGAGTCTGGAAAGCTGTCATAAGTTGAGAGAACAATTGGGAAAAAAAAGAAAGAAAAAGCCATCAAATACTGTTTAATATTAATCATCCCTTCTATCTAAGGTGGTCCCAAGCTGCAAATGGCTGTAGACCAGAAAAATACTTTGTGTAATATCTCGGGTTTTTTTCTACCTTCTGCACCTGCTGTTGTTCAGTGTTTCGCCTCATGTAAAGAAAGGATTGAAATGAGGATCAAAAGATCAAACTTTTAAATTGGGAGAATTGCAGAGCTTGAACACAAGCACCCTCAACAGTAGCTGCTGCTCTCTCTCAGTGAACAGCAGACAAATACCCTCCCCCTGCACTGGCACTGTTATCAGTTTCCCCATCTAGGATGTCCAGCTCTAAAAACATTAAACGCCCCATTCTCATCTCATTCCACCCAAAAAAGGGAAAAGCTGAATCATGGCAA